ATTAGTGGTATATATTCAATGCATTGAATTATTTTTTCCATGAAAATTTCACAAGATGTGGTTTCCCCCTTCCGTACGTGCTACAGTGGGCTAAATATCAGTTAAACAAATGAAAAACAAAAAGCATTCGTACAGCAGAAAATAAAATTCACCCCGTCGACTTGATGAACACCCCAGCATTGCAATAAAAACTTTCGAAAATTTTCGAAATTTTCAAAAAAGTATCAGGAGAACAGGAGATCCGAGGAGGTATTCACTGACATTGAAAAATTCGAAATTTTCAAAAAAATATCAGGAGAGCATGAGGATCGAGGAGGTTTTCACTGAAATTGAAAAATTCAAAATTTTCGAAAGAGTATCAGGATAACAGGAGATCCGAGGAGGTATATAATTTAAGTGAATCCATAATAAAATTTTGAAATTTCAGTGAATACCAATTCCGTAACGCAGAAAGTAGAATTCACCCCGTCGATTGATCCCTCTGACAGCGGAACTGCTACTGAGGCCGTTACCGAATCGGCTGATGAGCAGACACCCTAGCATTGCATGTGGCGCCCTCCCTCTCTTGGGGTGGAGTACCACGATGCCGCTGGGGTCACGATACCACACCGACGGCGTATTTCCAGATTTCTATTTATGCTTCATTAGATACTTAGTAATAAATTCCTTGATAATCTTTCAAGAACATCCACTAGGGAGGGCTCGTCCGCACTTTCATTTCCACGGGCTTTTTGAACTAGCCGGAAAAATCTCCGAAAAATCCTCTGCAGTCCCAAAAACTTCACAATCCTGCATAATCCACATAACTTTTCCGAAATCAGCCGAAGACTTAAGATTGCGGATCCACCTAATATATCTTTATTTTCAGAAATCCCCTGAATATACTGTAAAAATTTCTGATCTACATAATCTACACGGTTTACAGGACTCTGAAGATTCCTGACCTTCAACATGATCTATCGTAATTTCCAGGAGACGACAGATGACTAAGAGATTGGTGAAAGATGGGATGGATTTTTTCCCTTCGGTGTGACTTAAAGTAGAATTATGGAGAGGGATGTGGAGGGGTGTAAAGGACGAGATAATCCTGTAGATGGTTGAATCTAGATGCGCACCGTTGAGTTTGTCGGAGCACAAGGTTACAGCGGTCGTGAGGTCAGCAACACCACGGCCGCCCTTCCCATCATACAACCCTTCCCTCCACTCCTCCTCCCTTACCATCTCATACCATCTCATCCCATCTCATCCCATCGCATCCCGTCTCATTCCATCTCATCCCATACATGGTACAGCCAACCCCTCCATTTCCATTTCCCTCTCGTGTTCTTTTCCCACCCAGTGCTCCGAAGCACTCTTCTCCCTCCATCAACACTTGTGTAATATTCTAAGGCACAAACTATATTGACCATGGCTACTATCTTCAAGGCCTTTTCTCTCATTTTCTCATTTTTTCCGGGTACATCCACTCGGGGATAAACATTTCAATGGATTCGATTGACTCTACATGTTTTTCCATTTTCTCCATCTCCGTATCGTCGAATCTCATATTTCTGTTAATTACTCATTTATCTCGATATCTATGCATTGAAAGAGAGATCGTACCTTTGGGTCGAGGGGATATACTGTTTATGAATTTGTTTGAGAATTTGTAAATTTTGGTGGGGTGAGAGGAGAACCAGAAGACGTCCTGACAATGATATTTAAGAGCTTGTACAGCAA